ATATATATAGTTATACGTGTATATATACATGTGTATACGTGCAGTCATACATACATACATGCATACATAAATACATACATACATACATACATACATACATACATACATACACAAATACATACATACATGCATGCGTACATACATACATGCATACATACATACATACATGCCGACATACATGCATACACACATTCATACACACACGCACAGAGACAGTCATACATGCATACATGCATACATACATACATGCGTACGTACGTACCTACGTACGTACGTACGTACCTACGTCGTACATACATACATGCGTACGTACGTATGCACATGCATACATACATACATACATACATACATACATACATACATATACATGCATACGTATATACATACATACATTCATTCATTCATACATACATACATACATGCGTATGTACGTACATACATGCATACATACATACATACATACATACGTACGTACGTACGTACATACACGCATACATACATTGCATACATAAATACATACATACATACATGTATACATACATACACACATACATACATACATACATGCATACACACACACACATACATACATACATACATACGTATTTACATACATATATACATACATACATACATACATACATGCATGCATACATACCTACCTACCTACCTACCTACATACATACATACATACATACATGCATGCATGCATGCGTGCATGCATACATACATACATGCATACATATATTACCCTGGCGGCGTACCCAACCCCTGCGCAATGCGGGGCATGAGTAGATTGGGAGTCGTTATACGGAGGTGATGGCGTGACATGGGCGCATACACTTCTGCGAGCGGCATTCGTGAGGCTCGCAGCCCCCCCAAGGATTGCGATGTCCCGCTCAGACTTGCCTGGTGCCTCGCTCCGCTGGACCCACCAGCAGCCCTCGAAAGTGGCGACAGTCTCGCAGATCGCAGCCCCCCAGGGACGGCGAGGTCCCGCTCAGATCCGCGCGGTGCCTAACTCCGCAGGACCCACCAGCAGCCCTCGAAAGTGGCGACAGTTTCGCAGATCGCAGCCCCCCAGGCACGGCGAGGTCCCGCTCAGGTCCGCGCGGTGCCTCACTTCGCAAGACCCACCAGCAGCCCTCGAAAGTGGCGATAGTTTCGCAGATCGCAGCCCCCCAGGGACGGCGAGGTCCCGCTCAGGTCCGCGCGGTGCCTCACTCCGCAGGACCCACCAGCAGCCCTCGAAA